TATTACTCACACAGCAGGTAACCCTCACCAGGTATTACTCACACAGCAGGTAACCCTCACCAGGTATTACTCACACAGCAGGTAACCCTCACCAGGTATTACTCACACAGCAGGTAACCCTCACCAGGTATTACTCACACAGCAGGTAACCCTCACCAGGTATTACTCACACAGCAGGTAACCCTCACCAGGTATTACACACACAGCAGGTAACCCTCACCAGGTATTACTCACACAGCAGGTAACCCTCACCAGGTATTACTCACACAGCAGGTAACCCTCACCAGGTATTACTCACACAGCAGGTAACCCTCACCAGGTATTACTCACACAGCAGGTAACCCTCACCAGGTATTACTCACACAGCAGGTAACCCTCACCAGGTATTACTCACACAGCAGGTAACCCTCACCAGGTATTACTCACACAGCAGGTAACCCTCACCAGGTATTACACACACAGCAGGTAACCCTCACCAGGTATTACTCACACAGCAGGTAACCCTCACCAGGTATTACTCACACAGCAGGTAACCCTCACCAGGTATTACTCACACAGCAGGTAACCCTCACCAGGTATTACTCACACAGCAGGTAACCCTCACCAGGTATTACTCACACAGCAGGTAACCCTCACCAGGTATTACTCACACAGCAGGTAACCCTCACCAGGTATTACTCACACAGCAGGTAACCCTCACCAGGTATTACTCACACAGCAGGTAACCCTCACCAGGTATTACTCACACAGCAGGTAACCCTCACCAGGTATTACTCACACAGCAGGTAACCCTCACCAGGTATTACTCACACAGCAGGTAACCCTCACCAGGTATTACTCACACAGCAGGTAACCCTCACCAGGTATTACTCACACAGCAGGTAACCCTCACCAGGTATTACTCACACAGCAGGTAACCCTCACCAGGTATTACTCACACAGCAGGTAACCCTCACCAGGTATTACTCACACAGCAGGTAACCCTCACCAGGTATTACTTACACAGCAGGTAACCCTCACCAGGTATTACTCACACAGCAGGTAACCCTCACCAGGTATTACTTACACAGCAGGTAACCCTCACCAGGTATTACTCACACAGCAGGTAACCCTCACCAGGTATTACTCACACAGCAGGTAACCCTCACCAGGTATTACACACACAGCAGGTAACCCTCACCAGGTATTACTCACACAGCAGGTAACCCTCACCAGGTATTACTCACACAGCAGGTAACCCTCACCAGGTATTACTCACACAGCAGGTAACCCTCACCAGGTATTACTCACACAGCAGGTAACCCTCACCAGGTATTACTCACACAGCAGGTAACCCTCACCAGGTATTACTCACACAGCAGGTAACCCTCACCAGGTATTACTCACACAGCAGGTAACCCTCACCAGGTATTACTTACACAGCAGGTAACCCTCACCAGGTATTACTTACACAGCAGGTAACCCTCACCAGGTATTACTCACACAGCAGGTAACCCTCACCAGGTATTACTTACACAGCAGGTAACCCTCACCAGGTATTACTTACACAGCAGGTAACCCTCACCAGGTATTACTCACACAGCAGGTAACCCTCACCAGGTATTACTCACACAGCAGGTAACCCTCACCAGGTATTACTCACACAGCAGGTAACCCTCACCAGGTATTACTCACACAGCAGGTAACCCTCACCAGGTATTACTCACACAGCAGGTAACCCTCACCAGGTATTACTCACACAGCAGGTAACCCTCACCAGGTATTACTTACACAGCAGGTAACCCTCACCAGGTATTACTCACACAGCAGGTAACCCTCACCAGGTATTACTCACACAGCAGGTAACCCTCACCAGGTATTACTTACACAGCAGGTAACCCTCACCAGGTATTACTCACACAGCAGGTAACCCTCACCAGGTATTACTCACACAGCAGGTAACCCTCACCAGGTATTACTCACACAGCAGGTAACCCTCACCAGGTATTACTTACACAGCAGGTAACCCTCACCAGGTATTACTCACACAGCAGGTAACCCTCACCAGGTATTACTCACACAGCAGGTAACCCTCACCAGGTATTACTTACACAGCAGGTAACCCTCACCAGGTATTACTTACACAGCAGGTAACCCTCACCAGGTATTACTCACACAGCAGGTAACCCTCACCAGGTATTACTCACACAGCAGGTAACCCTCACCAGGTATTACTCACACAGCAGGTAACCCTCACCAGGTATTACTTACACAGCAGGTAACCCTCACCAGGTATTACTTACACAGCAGGTAACCCTCACCAGGTATTACTTAGACAGCAGGTAACCCTCACCAGGTATTACTTAGACAGCAGGTAACCCTCACCAGGTATTACTTAGACAGCAGGTAACCCTCACCAGGTATTACTTAGACAGCAGGTAACCCTCACCAGGTATTACTCAGACAGCAGGTAACCCTCACCAGGTATTACTTACACAGCAGGTAACCCTCACCAGGTATTACTCACACAGCAGGTAACCCTCACCAGGTATTACTCACACAGCAGGTAACCCTCACCAGGTATTACTCACACAGCAGGTAACCCTCACCAGGTATTACTTACACAGCAGGTAACCCTCACCAGGTATTACTCACACAGCAGGTAACCCTCACCAGGTATTACTTACACAGCAGGTAACCCTCACCAGATATTACTCACACAGCAGGTAACCCTCACCAGGTATTACTCAGACAGCAGGTAACCCTCACCAGGTATTACTCACACAGCAGGTAACCCTCACCAGGTATTACTCACACAGCAGGTAACCCTCACCAGGTATTACTTACACAGCAGGTAACCCTCACCAGGTATTACTCACACAGCAGGTAACCCTCACCAGGTATTACTTACACAGCAGGTAACCCTCACCAGGTATTACTCACACAGCAGGTAACCCTCACCAGGTATTACTCACACAGCAGGTAACCCTCACCAGGTATTACTCACACAGCAGGTAACCCTCACCAGGTATTACTCACACAGCAGGTAACCCTCACCAGGTATTACTCACACAGCAGGTAACCCTCACCAGGTATTACTCACACAGCAGGTAACCCTCACCAGGTATTACTCACACAGCAGGTAACCCTCACCAGGTATTACTTACACAGCAGGTAACCCTCACCAGGTATTACTCACACAGCAGGTAACCCTCACCAGGTATTACTCACACAGCAGGTAACCCTCACCAGGTATTACTCACACAGCAGGTAACCCTCACCAGGTATTACTCACACAGCAGGTAACCCTCACCAGGTATTACTCACACAGCAGGTAACCCTCACCAGGTATTACTCACACAGCAGGTAACCCTCACCAGGTATTACTCACACAGCAGGTAACCCTCACCAGGTATTACTCACACAGCAGGTAACCCTCACCAGGTATTACTCACACAGCAGGTAACCCTCACCAGGTATTACTCACACAGCAGGTAACCCTCACCAGGTATTACTCACACAGCAGGTAACCCTCACCAGGTATTACTCACACAGCAGGTAACCCTCACCAGGTATTACTCACACAGCAGGTAACCCTCACCAGGTATTACTCACACAGCAGGTAACCCTCACCAGGTATTACTCACACAGCAGGTAACCCTCACCAGGTATTACTCACACAGCAGGTAACCCTCACCAGGTATTACTCACACAGCAGGTAACCCTCACCAGGTATTACTAACACAGCAGGTAACCCTCACCAGGTATTACTTACACAGCAGGTAACCCTCACCAGGTATTACTCACACAGCAGGTAACCCTCACCAGGTATTACTCACACAGCAGGTAACCCTCACCAGGTATTACTCACACAGCAGGTAACCCTCACCAGGTATTACTCACTCAGCAGGTAACCCTCACCAGGTATTACTTACACAGCAGGTAACCCTCACCAGGTATTACTCACACAGCAGGTAACCCTCACCAGGTATTACTCACACAGCAGGTAACCCTCACCAGGTATTACTTACACAGCAGGTAACCCTCACCAGGTATTACTCACACAGCAGGTAACCCTCACCAGGTATTACTCACACAGCAGGTAACCCTCACCAGATATTACTCACACAGCAGGTAACCCTCACCAGGTATTACACACACAGCAGGTAACCCTCACCAGGTATTACACACACAGCAGGTAACCCTCACCAGGTATTACTCACACAGCAGGTAACCCTCACCAGGTATTACTCACACAGCAGGTAACCCTCACCAGGTATTACTCACACAGCAGGTAACCCTCACCAGGTATTACTCACACAGCAGGTAACCCTCACCAGGTATTACTCACACAGCAGGTAACCCTCACCAGGTATTACTTACACAGCAGGTAACCCTCACCAGGTATTACTCACACAGCAGGTAACCCTCACCAGGTATTACACACACAGCAGGTAACCCTCACCAGGTATTACACACACAGCAGGTAACCCTCACCAGGTATTACTCACACAGCAGGTAACCCTCACCAGGTATTACTCACACAGCAGGTAACCCTCACCAGGTATTACTCACACAGCAGGTAACCCTCACCAGGTATTACTCACACAGCAGGTAACCCTCACCAGGTATTACTCACACAGCAGGTAACCCTTACCAGGTATTACTCACACAGCAGGTAACCCTCACCAGGTATTACTCACACAGCAGGTAACCCTCACCAGGTATTACTCACACAGCAGGTAACCCTCACCAGGTATTACTCACACAGCAGGTAACCCTCACCAGGTATTACTTACACAGCAGGTAACCCTCACCAGGTATTACTCACACAGCAGGTAACCCTCACCAGGTATTACTAACACAGCAGGTAACCCTCACCAGGTATTACTCACACAGCAGGTAACCCTCACCAGGTATTACTCACACAGCAGGTAACCCTCACCAGGTATTACTTAGACACTTTTAGAGGGAGGCAGTTCAGTGACAGTGATTGGTTGTTACTAATTACGTGATTTCAGGACATGACTGTGATTGGCTGGTACCATTCTCACCCGACAAGCTCGCCCCGTCCTTCCCAACACGATATAGTGTGTCAGTCTGTTCACCAGCAACACATGAGATCACTTGACGGACGTATAGATCCCTGCTTGGGGGTCATAGTGTCCCCTTTTAGAGGCTCTACACCTACCAGTGAAGTTAGTAGTAGCATTATAACATATGCATGTCATTATAACATACACATATCTTAGGTTGTACCAAGAAATAGCAGAAACGTTAAATATCTGCCGAATTAAGTGTTTTTTTGGAGCCCAGTCATGAACAAATGTTACAAATTTGTTCAATATTACTTACTACAGGCCTAAATAGAGTGAACTTGGCACCTTGACTTAATTGGGAACATCTGTAAATGAAATGTAGCAGTCTATTAGTAAGATTTTATCACAGCAGTCTAATTAGAGCTATTATTTACTCTAGTAGTGTGAGGTTTGTAATATTTACATTATATTTACAGATGCAGCTATTCTGTGTTATGCACACTAACGACGGACGACCAGTTCCTATGCACTTGGAGTACACGTTAGTAGTGTTCAATTACATAATCTTACATATTTATTATACTTTTCTCTTAATTGTTGTCTGATTGTTGTATATCTATAGACTATTTTAATCAAAACATAATTATATTTCTGATTTAATAAATATGATAGAAATTGTAATCAAAACATAATTATATTTCTGATTTAATAAATATGATAGAAATTGTAAATGTTAGTAATTATCAATAGCTTATTTGTACTCTAATTGCAGGTGTGTATGGGATTCCACTATCTCCCCCGCGCTAGCAACTGAAATGAGAGCTATGTCCCTGCTTTACTCACAACAAAAATCAGGAGTCAAATTTGATCAACATTGGCGAAACAACATGAACATTTTCCGAAAAATGACAGAGTCTCTGAAACAAAAAACTCCAAAAGATATTAGCGAGGATCAATTTGTGGATGTTATGAGGCAAATTGTAGCAAAAGAGGAATGAGACCTGTTACGGACTACTGTCTTACTTCCACTTCCTCTCAGCACACAGTTATTTTGATAAGAAATTATACAATTATTTTATCTCAATTTATATATGTTCTCTGTTATTGTTGTACATTTTATCATTCTTATTTATCATCTTGTTGAAAATTGGACAATAATCGGATCTTTCGGTTTGTGTCAATTTTTATTGCCAGAGGCGCTGTTTTCTCAATACTTGTGGCCCTTTTGTGGCACGTCCCCATTTCTTGCCCCATCTATATCTGAGAGGGGGGCAAGATTCACATTCTACACAAAAAATCAGGGAATATGACCTCTGGCAACCTCCAAGAAAACACCCCCTGACCCGCTGGGAAACAATGAAATAGTTGTATTAATGGAAAACGCGTAGATATTTTTGAAGGGTTCTTGGCGCAAAACGCGCGTCGATTAAAGTCTGACGCGCGCGTACATGTTACGTTGAAAAATGAGCTGCTTATTTGAAACATGAAACAGTTTTACCCCAATATCTTGTCTGTTGTCAGGGGGGCTCTTACTAAATCGCTCGCCCAAAAATTTCACGTGACTTTGGTTTTTTTGGTTTTGCAGCCGTACAAAACGGTTTTACATAAACCCTAATCCTAACCATAACCCCGAAGCTATCCATAATCTTAACCACAACCCTAACCCGAGCCCTAAATAATCGAATTCACGTTTTACTAGCCTGTCACGTGACCAAAACGGTTTTTTGCCCATAACTCTCCAGGGAAGCATTTTAACCCTACGTCATGGGGGGTGATTCGGAATCAGCGTCCAAAAATACACCGATCCAGATCACTTTCATGCCTAAAGGGCCTTTTCACAAGAATTTTCTTAAAATTTGGGCGAGCGATTAAGTAGGATTTAGTTGGAGCGAAACAAAACGATAAATAATACCATGATTTGATCAATAATAATTCAAGCGTGCTAAATCACTTTACAGTCGATCTTCGAGATTTTTCGAAAAGGGCCCCTGACAGTTAAAATCAACCTGAATCGATTTATTTTTGGACGCTGATTCCGAATCACCCCATGACATACAAGGTTGAAATGCTCCCTGGGCAAGATATTGGCGAAAAACTGTCTCGATCACGTGATATGACCATATAAGGAAGTTGGTGTAATTTCACGTTACTGTAAGGGTTAGGTTTTCAGTTTTGTTAGAGATTGGGTTAATGTCAGGGTTGGGATCAGATTCTGATTAGAGGGCTAGGATTTCGGATAGTCATTCAGGGCTACAAAGTGAACATGTTAAAAAAGTCACGTGACAGTCGAGTGTAGAGCGAGTGATTAATCATCATCCAATTATTTTTTCAAATCAATAAATTCCACTGCTTAAAATGAGAATAAACGCAATTGAAAATATGTATATAATTAACAATTAACAATTAATGCGTTACCTATTATTGCTTATACTCTTTGCAAGCCTCCCTCGTGCACGCGAAAAGGGGTAACAACGTGTATCAAGTTATGAGTTACCTAGCTTGCTCCTCCTTAACACTTAACGGGTGATACTCGTAAAATATTTCGTGGACATAGAAATATGAATTGAATAGCCACATAGTCTAGTAACTAAAATATAGTTTAGCTCCGCCTTACCTGGCAGTGGCACTCCCGTCCCAATGCGTGGCGCTCTTCTCGAGCTTCTCACGTTGGAGAGGACCGAGCGCCGAGCAATAGTCTAGCAAGTTATGTAAAGTTCCGCCAATACCCTTTTTAAAGCCCAATCTAAAACTGTTATAATTTGGGTAACTAATAAACTTTACCCGCTACTGGTACTCTGTGAGTAATTCAGTAATACTTACCTAATTTCAATTGTCAAATTACTTCAAATAAAACATACGAACACTTCCCAGATCGCTATAAAGAGTATTCAATATAGTCCGCGGTAAATTAAGCGACAAATATATCTTTAAGCGGCAAGTGACCTACCACGTGACTGATAGTTAAATCATATCCATACAACTTGAACTATCATTTTAAAGCGTGAAATTTTCACCTTTCAAACACGTTTCAGTGTCATTTTCTTTTTCTTAACATTCTTATTGTTACCACCGCTTGATTTTCTCAGAGATTGTTCAGGGTTCATTACAATCTTCATATAATTTACTTTTAAAATAGGGAAATAGGAATATTTGAAGGGAACAGTGATTTTCTGCTTGAGTTTGGATAGTCTAACATGTTGGCGCAGCTCCAGGTTTTGGTGCTGTCTGAACATAGCGAGTTTTCTCTTGATGTCTCGCTGTATCTCCTCCTTCCTGAGCGAGTCAAGGTACTGCTTGTTTCTTTCTTCCTCTTGTCTCAACATGTTCTGGAGATGTTTCTCGTACTCAGCTTCTTGGGCTCTCATCACCTGGTCAGGTTATATTAGTGGATTTGAATAATGCCCCAATTCAGAAAGCTTCAACTGTAAGGTATTGTCTAGGAGGCTTGCTAAGATTAAACACAAAGGTAGTGCTGACTATAAGAACAGACTCAGTAGGTGTTAGTACTGTGCACACTACACTACTGGTGTTAATCAGATGATTAATTATCATTCGCTCATTTTCTTGTGACTTTAACATGTCATGTAGCTCTGGCTTGTAATCCAAAACCTTGCACTCTAACACTATGGATAAACCGTAACTCAAACCCAAACATCTGCCAGAGAAATTTAAGTCATGTTATCCACACCACGTAACCACACCACGTGACCACCCTAATAAGGACATCACGTGTCCACCCTAATAAGGACATCACGTGACCACCCTAATAAGGACATCACGTGACCACCCTAATATTACCTCTTCGTAAGCCCGGCGTTCCTCTTCCTTCCTCGCTGATTCCTCCTCAATTTCTTGCTGTCTGAGGGCTGCCTCCTTATCTTTCTGTTGGTTCGTCTCCTTTTCTATAATCTCTACTTTCTCCCCTGTGGGTGGAATATTAAGTGCATTCGTTAAAATTTCAAACCTGAAGAGACACTGAGGGTTGAGATATTAAATCTGAATCAGAGTAAGAATGTAGGTCACTGCTCGACTCACCTAGCCGTTTCAGACTCCCGTCCTCTATGCCAATCCTTCTCTCGAGAAGCTCTAGAGTTTTGAGCTCCTTTTCCCGCTCCTCCTGCCTCATCCTCTCCTCCATATCCTCCTCTCCCTCCTCCAGGTCATGTGACCTGTCCTTTGTCAGGGAACCCGACATATCCGCAGTTTTGGAGAGCTCTGCGGAGGTGGAGGGAGTGTTGGGAGCTGTTTTATCCAGAGTCTGATCTGATCGCTGTCTCAGGGATCTGTCTGTTCTCTTCCGCTGTGGAGACCCTGACTGCGAGGTGATCATGTGGTTAATATGACTAAACTATTAAATCATTAGTCAGTAGACATTGATTATTTTAGTATTTCCTAAAAGTAAACATTTTGAGAACATACCTGCTCCTCATTGTCACTGTCAAGCAGCATAGTTTGGGGAGGCTGGGAGAACACGTCCTCAGTCTCAGAGTTAGCCCCCTCACTCCTGGCGTCTGTGTCCCAGGCAACACGGTCACTACACTTTGCTGAACGTCTCTTCTTCGAACCTGATGGGAGTGTTTATTAGTTGGATGTAGACAGTACAGCACCGGAGACTCAACATTCTTCATGGAATCTAAGGGATTAAGGGAAGTCTGCCGATAGAAGTGTTGATAAAAGTGCTGATAGAAGTGCTGATAGAAGTGTTGATAGAAGTGTTGATAAAAGTGCTGATAGAAGTGCTGATAGAAGTGTTGATAGAAGTGTTGATAAAAGTGCTGATAGAAGTGTTGATAAAAGTGTTGATAAAAGTGCTGATACAAGCTGATACAAGCTGATACAAGCTGATACAAGCTGATACAAGCTGATACAAGCTGATACAAGCTGATACAAGCTAATACAAGCTGATACAAGCTGATACAAGCTGATACAAGCTGATACAAGCTGATACAAGCTGATACAAGCTGATACAAGCTGATACAAGCTGATACAAGCTGATACAAGCTGATACAAGCTAATACAAGCTGATACAAGCTGATACAAGCTGATACAAGCTAATACAAGCTGATACAAGCTGATACAAGCTGATACAAGCTGATACAAGCTGATACAAGCTGATACAAGCTGATACAAGCTGATACAAGCTGATACAAGCTGATACAAGCTGATACAAGCTGATACAAGCTGATACAAGCTGATATGAGCTGATATGAGCTGATGAGGGTTGCTATACGAGGGGGGGGGGGGGGGGGGGGGGGGCCTACCAATGTACCTGATTGAGAGCCCTTCTTCTTAGTGATAGAGACGGAACTGTCAATATTGTCTTTATGCATGGCTACCAGGGATTTAGGAGGCTGTTTCTCCTTGTACTCTCCGTCACTGACCGGTATGATGGGGGTTTCAGCTTCCTTCTTAGACTTGGCTGACTTTACTGTCTTCTTCTTAGTGTCCCCTTCTTTGCTGTCTTTACCTGGAGTATGTGAACTAGAGAAATGTGATCTGTGTAAAACGAGAAGTGTATCATGTATTATTGTACAATGTATCTAACAATGTATTTAACAGTTGTATGACCCAGCTAGATACTATTTATATGTTGCAACTAGATGATGAATTTAATCTAGCAAGCACTACACAAGGTACCTTGGAGCATTAGTTTAAAGGTCGTGTTAAGATGCAGGTGTCTTGTTAAAGTAGCTGCAAACAAGCTGTTTATTAATTATTATTAAAAACGGGGGCACACCATTTCTTCAAGCATGATTTAGCAACAAATTTATTCAATTTCCAGGCTTATTCCACGGTTCTGAGATTTGAGACGCACAACGAAATAAAGACAATTGGAAAGAAGTAGCAACAAGCAGAGTTATTGCAGATAAGCTACTTAATGGTGTCTCATCTCGTAAACAAAAAGTATTATGCATGGCAGATTCAGCTTATGTATTGCTGTGACCAAAGTTTAAAATTTATTGAACTTTATTAAAAGTCAGTGGTAGACAGTTGGCTGAAATTGTCAATTTTATTTTAAAACAACAACATCAAAGTGCAATGCAAATGGAACTGTAGGAGCTAATTGGATTGTCCAGAGCGACCACAGACTTTAATACGTGAACACAATCATGTAACAGAGTGGCTAGTAAGTACTGATCTCTTTGTTAGAATATGAGAAAGCGACCGCTACCAGCACAAATAATTGTTTTAATGAAAATAATAATATTAGATTTTCAAAATACATAGTAGAAAGATTTTATATTGCCAATTTCCTTCATTTTAGATTCCTGCCATGTTGACAGTACTGGTCAAGCTAAATAAACAAACTACCTCCTCGTTTTCTTCTAGATTTTTTGGAACTTGAAATCTCATTTATTAAATTCTTGGCGTCAAGAAGGGCATCTCTTTTTGCTTCTGGATCCATGCTTCCCTCCGAGTCCTGAATTCATTTAAAGTTTATCAGATTCAGTCATATTACCATGGTTACCAGGTAACATGGTAATACTAACATTTAGTATTACCTTATCGGTCATAATTAGTAAAACATAACATCTAGTATTACCTTAGCGGTCATAATTAATAAAACATAACATTTAGTATTACCTTATCGGTCATAATTAATAAAACATAACATCTAGTATTACCTTATCAGTCATAATTAATAAAACATAACATCTAGTATTACCTTATCGGTCATAATTAATAAAACATAACATCTAGTATTACCTTATCGGTCATAATTAATAAAACATAACATCTAGTATTACCTTATCGGTTATAATTAATAAAACATAACATCTAGTATTACCTTAGCGGTCATAATTAATAAAACATAACATTTAGTATTACCTTATCGGTCATAATTAATAAAACATAACATCTAGTATTACCTTATCAGTCATAATTAATAAAACATAACATCTAGTATTACCTTATCGGTCATAATTAATAAAACATAACATCTAGTATTACCTTAGCGGTCATAATTAATAAAACATAACATCTAGTATTACCTTATCGGTCATAATTAATAAAACATAACATCTAGTATTACCTTATCAGTCATAATTAATAAAACATAACATCTAGTATTACCTTATCGGTCATAATTAATAAAACATAACACTTAGTATTACCTTATCGGTTATAATTAATAAAACATAACATCTAGTATTACCTTATCAGTCATAATTAATAAAACATAACATCTAGTATTACCTTATCAGTCATAATTAATAAAACATAACATTTAGTATTACCTTATCGGTTATAATTAATAAAACATAACATCTAGTATTACCTTATCGGTCATAATTAATAAAACATAACATCTAGTATTACCTTATCGGTCATAATTAATAAAACATAACATCTAGTATTACCTTATCGGTTATAATTAATAAAACATAACATCTAGTATTGCCTTATCGGTCATAATTAATAAAACATAACATCTAGTATTACCTTATCGGTCATAATTAATAAAACATAACACTTAGAATTACCTTATCGGTCATAATTAATAAAACATAACATCTAGTATTACCTTATCGGTCATATTTATCACTGACATTACTTTCACGCTCAAAACCTTAGCGTGAATAATTAAGTCCGTGAAAATAATGTCTGTGGCATTAAAGTCCGTGAATAATAAAGTCCGGTAATTTAAATTATTTGTCTCTACATATGCGTAGATTGTGTAGCCGATTACTATATTAGTTTATTGGTATACTAGGACAAATATAACCACTCCTCGGCCTCAGTCACATTATAGAGTTCAGAAAAAGAGTAAACAACTTATTAAAAAATCACCAAACATTTTCACAATTTTTTGACATTTTTGGGCGGTCAAGAGCGACAATAATTATGTCCATGAAAAAATTGGTCGTGAAAAACTTGTCCGTGACAATTATGTCCGATAAGGTGAATCGTGTTGCAGTGAAACCTTTCATTTTGTTTACTGATAAAAGAAGCAGCAAAGATACAACTACAAGATACAGCAAGAGTTATTGAATCGAGCCAAAAATTAAAAACAGAAAATAAACGAAAAAATGATACATGAAAGTGACAATGGATGAAGAGAATGGTGAGAAGAGGTGGAAGTTAGATGTGGGTGAAAGTACCTGTTGGGCAGTGTCTCCCTTAGAGTTAGCTGAGGAGAGCGAGAGGAAGGAGGGGTAGGTGAGGATCCTGTTTGTGGTTATGTTCTGCAAACTGTCATCTATTGCCGAGCTGATCTCCTCCCCGCTCTTCTGCTCGACTGAAAGTGAAAGTGAAAGTGAAGGTGAAGATGAAACTTGGATTGAGATGACTTCTTGCAAAGTTTTACATTCAGTAGCCAACTGCGAATTGAATAAAAACGATAGATTGTCCAAGTAATTAAAAGTGATTCTGTAGCCGTACTAGTAGAAGTAGTGGGAGTAGCCTCATCGTCCACTACTTTACCCCCGTGATCCCCGTGAGTGTCCATCATCTCCATCATTAACTCCTCGCTTATAAAACTATCTTTAGGTTTCTCCTTATTCTCGTCAGGCAGATCTATTATGATTTGGCGGGAGGAGGGGCACCGGTCTGGAAGCTGTAAAAACAATTTCTCACTCTCAGATAACATTATCACGTAATCTCAGATAACAGGTTGGGAAACTCTTCTGAACGCGATTTTTTAAACAATTCAAACTTATCTGCCTTCTCAGGGGCAAAACTAAAAACGATAACGGCCTGACCCCCCCCCCTGACCCCCCTGACCCCCTTGACCCCCCCTGACCCCCCGGCCCCCTGACCCCCCTGACCCCCTGACTCCCCTGACCCCCTGACCCCCCTGACCCCCCTGACGCCCCCCGCCCCCTGACCCCCCTGACGCCCTCCTTACCCTCCTAATAATCGAAACTATTGATTTTACTGTGGGTATAATATACAATATATCATTGTCCTGCAATCAATGGCCGCATGTCTTAAAGAAAGTGATAACTGATAATGACCTCAGAGATTTGTTCACCCTCAGCCGAACCAAGCCCCTGGAGCTGACTATCCACCCCTGACCCTGGTGTCGATATAGTCGAGTGTCTCTGTTCCTGCTCACTCTGTGATACTCGTGGCTTGATCTCAGCCGCTATAATGTCACTCTTTGTAAACCCCTCCAACTCTGCAAAACAATTATTGATTTTTAGTAAATATCGTTTGGGTGATGTACCGCCCATTTACCTAATATTAATTATCTTTATCGTTTGGGTGATGTACCGCCAGAGTGTAACTATGGTAACTAACATTTACCTAATATTAAATTTGCATGCGGATGTCACAGCTTCAGATAGTTATATTTTGAACTCCATATATGATAGCAACTGACCATGGGGTTGATGATGAAGGCTGTCAGTTAGATCTAGTCTATCACTGTCCTCAGAGCAATAACTACCAAACTCCTGAAATAAAACTCAGTTCTCGGAAGGAATAATATGATTTCTGTACTGAACAGGCGACTTTAGGAACCAAATCCCGAGAGTGAGAGTCTTGCAGATAGGCTCACATAGTACGACCAGGAATTGATAAAACTGAAAGTGGTGTGAAAGTGAAACTGTGAAAGTGAAAGTGGAAAAGTGGAAGTGAAACTGTGAAAGTGAATGTGCAATGTGGAAATGCGGAAGTGGAAGTGATAATAAAATATTCCGTATAGTGGTATAGGAAAACAACTAACGTGACTGCCTCGAGGAGCAGGGTGTTCAGTTCGGGAGAGAGATCTCCTATAAGTAGGGCTGGAAGTGACTATGAACAAAGGAACCGACTTAGTCTGGTCGCAAGTAACGTACGACTTATCCTCGTTGTATTGAGTCTTGTACACAGGACTAGAGTAAGCTCGGCGCTTTGGTACCTTTCCACCTAACCCTGCAATGTTATTAACTAATTAGAAATTATTACAACAAATTCCTTCAAGAATTTGCAAACGAATAAGCCACAATTCTAATATTGCACGAAGGTCCCGATCCAATCTCTATATTAATCACCAAACATTAGAACACAATTAAATGCATATGAACCCTTGACTTGAAGATGGTCGGGAATGGTAGAGACGAACTCAAAGTCCGCGTATTTCATCCGCTCCCTCCTTTGAGCAGCGTCCAGGTGTTTCATCTGGTCCCTGATTATCTCCACCTTTCTTTTCTCCACTGACGGCATTAGTTGCGGCTGAAATTATTAAATAATATATCATATCGGTTTCAGAGTGAATTTCATATTATAAATTATCTGCGAATGTATTCAGTTGCGGAGATTAGCTCATAGGAGTTAGAAAAACCCAATGCTGGTTTTGGGAAGTTTCCAGCCGTGTTGCTCATATTCAAGTTTCTCACCATCACTGCCCAATCAAATTTATGCAATCAACATCACTATACAGTATATACACCCTTGATCATATGATCAAAACACAAAGCTTTGAAATATACTTTTTTCTGTTTGAGATTTGAATAACGTTACTGTAATGTTCCAAATTCTATTTTAAATGTTCAAAAAAATGTTATTCACACACGACCTGCCCATGTGTTACGTAGAACCAGATAACGTAACATATTAAACCAGTGCCTTATGACGCATAGGAAGTGCTTGATATTGCTGTAACACTCTAATTCGTGCACTCGATTTAAAGACGATATTTCTTTAAATTCCATCAAATGCCCCCAGAATCATTATCTTGTCCATGCTGCACTTGAAGACCAATCACTGAACCATTCTTTGCTCAAGCAATTGCAATTCACTCCAATGAAAGATTCGTAAGCTTGAACATGCAACATGCGATACAACATCGTCTTAAAATGTCCGGTCAATCTGATCCTATTTTCACAGAGTTCAAATGCAATGTTTAAAATTAAGAAATATATATTGCAGGTTAATAAGACATTATTCAAACAGATAGTTTGAGAGATGTAAAATGAACATTTACCACCAGCTCGCCCAACAGTTATAGTTCAACATGAAAGTGAAGTGAAATTGAAAGTGAAAGGAAAAGTGAAACTGTAGAAATCAGAAATGGTACTGGTAGTGAAACAAAAGAAAGAGTGAAGGAAGCGCGTCTAACCGGAGCAGAGGGAGGACGAAGGAGTCTGCGCTTCTCAGCTCCAGAGTCGGGTCTGGAAGAAGAAGGGGAGTCCGGGGACTCAGCAAAGAGGGAGGGGGAGGGGCACTGGGTTCTAGCTGTCTTAACCCGCTCTGTCGGCCTCAGTCGAGCCACTGCCATCTTGTTAGTCTTCGTCAGCAGCCTGGTAATATGATTTACAGACAACTTTGTTTGTGACCAATAGATGTTTATCACTGAGGGAGGTCGGTACACTACTGAATCATCTCATCATGATCAAACACATAAAACCAACATGTTCACGAGTACCTGGTTTTGTACTTGAGGTCCTCCAGATAAACTTCAGGTAAGGCACCAGGTCTAGTTGACTCATCTAGGTACACGTCGTCTACGTTGGGCCTAGTGAATCTCAGGCACGTTTTATCTTCCTGTGGTTGTTACAGTATGAGTTACAACTGAATTATGCTAGTAATAATAATAACTCAGATCCTATCAATAATTTAATATGCAAGACTTTCTTATATTATTTCTATACGCATGATAGATATATAGTATATAATACAAATTTTAACAACGAAAATGATATATTTCAGACCTCGGAGGTTCCAAATTGAAGAATGTTTCGCTGAAGATTGTCTAGATCTGATGTTTGAAATTCCTTCGTTGAAGCGGGGTGAACGGCTTGAGACAGCTTATCCTTGACAACGTAATCCTCGCTAGTGTACAGCACTATAGCACCCTGACAAAGTGAAAATGAAACTATAGCACCCCGGTACAGTGAAAGTGAAAGCAGTAGCACTATAGCACCCTGGTAAAGTGAAAGTGAAAGCGAATGCTTTTATTAAGGATGGATCTCTCTGTAGAGTGTAAGAATTTCATTGGTATATTCCGCATTTTAAAGCACTTTAATGTTTAATAAGGGTGCAGCATACTGCATATTGATATTAAACTTTACCTTGTTTGTAGTGAATGTTTTGGGAACGGTCCTGTACAAGTGTCTGTCATGAATGACGTATCTGCTGTGCTGGCCGGTGTCATTGTGGGGAGGGGCCTTGCTCGGCTGATCTTCGTACTGAAGACAGAGGACTTATTTAAAACACAGAGGATTGTTCATTATTCATGCTTATTCATTTATTTGGAATTTGATTCACGTAATGTAGTTCGACAACTAAATGTCACCAGGCGTGCACTGTATTTCTTACAGCCAGACTATATTTAATATTCGCCCTTCATGGCTTCGCTTCACAGGTATAGTTCCTCATTTAACCCTCAATCACATGTTTCCAATTATTCGGCTAAGTAAACAGTTAGGCTGAACATAACAGAGGTGGTAGCTGACTCAGGGGTGCCCCCCCCCCCCCCGCTTCCTACACCCCCGCTTCCCACCCCCGCCGCTCCCTACACCCCTGAGCTGACTCCATGGTTCATGGCGAGGCTAAAACCTTATATTAGTTACTAGTTAGCAGTGCTGCAGGGCAGCACTGTTAGTTAGTTCTTACTGGACAAATATCTTACCCATTTGAAATCTGCAGACCACTCCGGGCCATGTCCTCTGATTAGAGGTGAAAACAGCTTCGATCTCATCTTATCTCCTCACTATGGAGTAGGATTACAATCTGACTATTATCTTATTTTCTGAACTGATAAGAAGGCAAGCAGCGTGAAACTGGGCAGTTATCAGACATCAGACATCTGAGGAAGGTAGGTTAGTAAACCTACAGATTCTACTCGTTTATACTAGTAGTATAATAGTACTAGCTGGATAATAGCGGGCACGTGACTTCTGTTATATAATAACACGTACAAAAGCTTAGTCGGTTAAGAAGACAAAGCAACGTGGTTTTTAAAGGGATCTGCAGTGGAGGGGGGGGGGGGGGCAGTGGGGGGGGGGGGGGGGGCAGTGGTTGAACAAGCAGAGCATTTCTATCCAGAACACACAAGACATAAACTGATCAGATAGAAGAAAAGATCAAATAATAAAAACGCACAATACTAGGATGTTGACGGCAAGTTGTCCTGTTGCAAGTTTCTAAACGACCAGCATTCGTTGTCAAACTTGAAAATATAAACAGATAATTTTAAGCAATCACAGCTTACTATGTAGTAGAAGTAATTATGTCAGACAAGTCATGATGCGACGCGTAGGGCCACCCAGCTGCCACCTGTCCGGCCGCCTATTGGGCCGTCCCTCTTGCACAAGCAACAACTTTATGCTTTTATGCAAAATGAGCATTAACATTGAATAATTAATTCACGTATAATTTGAGAGAGGTTTAACAGGCACGTAGCCAGGGGGGGGGAGGGGGGGCGCTAAACAACAGCAACTGAATTGAAAGAACCTCATTGTGGTCAACATACTGTGAGACTGCGTTGGGAAACTACAGACAAATTCGCTATCGCTTTTCAATATACTATTAAAACATATTTTTTTTTATAATTTATTGCAATTCAGTGGGCTTGCATGCCGATAGCAGTAAATTGTACAGCTTTGATAATAGAACATCATGCAGGGACTTGCAGCTGTGAAACTATGATAACCTACAAGTTCCACTTTTAGAAGACTGTTATAGGACTGTTAGAGGACTGTTAGAGGACTGTTAGAGGACTGCTAGAGGACTGTTAGAGGACTGTTAGAGGACTGTTAGAGGACTGTTAGAGGACTGTTAGAGGACTGTTAGAGGACTGTTAGAGGACTGTTAGAGGACTGTTAGAGGACTGTTAGAGGACTGTAGAGGACTGTTAGAGGACTGTTAGAGGACTGTTAGAGGACTGTTAGAGGACTGTTAGAGGACTGTTAGAGGACTGTTAGAGGACTGTTATAGGACTGTTAGAGGACTGTTAGAGGACTGTTAGAGGACTGTTAGAGGACTGTTAGAGGACTGTTAGAGGACTGTTAGAGGACTGTTAGAGGACTGTTAGAGGACTGTTAGAGGACTGTTAGAGGACTGTTAGAGGACTGTTAGAGGACTGTTAGAGGACTGTTAGAGGACTGTTAGAGGACTGTTAGAGGACTGTTAGAGGACTGTTAGAGGACTGTTAGAGGACTGTTAGAGGACTGTTAGAGGACTGTTAGAGGACTGTTAGAGGACTGTTAGAGGACTGTTAGAGGACTGTTAGAGGACTGTTAGAGGACTGTTAGAGGACTG